TAATAGAGTGATATTTAGGTTATTTTTACTGATAATCCAATAGATAGAGATATATTGTTGTTCTCTGATAAACAGACCCATCATTAGAATTTCCCAGCATACCCCAAAGCCTGCCAAGGAGTATGAATAAAATAGACTGATGGAAACTGATCAAACACATTTTATCTTGTTTCTTATGAAAACGTTTATAAGAAAATGCCTATTTTTTAAAAGAAGTGGGTACTAAATTCAGCATGGTTGACATCAGAAACCCCTTTATTTAATCAAATTAAGCTCAGCAGTCTTTTCCCTTGTCTAATTTAAACATTACTATGGCAGACAGGGTTTGCTGAGTTCCTCTTGGCTCATGGCACTGATTCTGCCTATTTCTAAATTAAATAAAGTTTGCCAGGAGGCTCATATAGCAAGCACATGAAGTAAATTTGGAGATCAGAAGTAGTGCCTCCTCCCTTCACTATTGCAGAGTGTCAGAGCCTCAGGGAAATCATGTGTGTGACATAGGGGATGATGAGAAATTACTTTTGGAAAAGCTAGTTTCTATGAATGGGATAGTAATGACATGCTTATAGACACTCTATTAGTTGACTGGCAAAGGCTCACTCAGAAGTAAACCTGTTAAGAAAATTATCTGTACAAAGAGAACATTTATCAAAATTTAAAACTCTATCAGCAAATTAGAAAAAGACTTTTTTTTCTCCTGGGTTTAGAGTTGCTAGATAAATGTGCAAAATTTTGTTCTTAATGAGAGCCCAGATACAAGACAGAAAAAAAATTTTTCTGTAAAGAAAATAGGTAGCACATTTCCTGTAAGGAAGAAAAAAGTGGGTTCTTTAGCCAATCCAGAAATCTCGCATTTCACTTCAGAGGGTTTTAAAATTACATTGTTCCTGCATTCTAGTATCTTTGTATTTTTCTGTCAGAGTCTATAATTTTGAACCCATTCTTGGGTTATTCATTGCTCTCCATCCACTTTGACTAGAGCAAGATTAACTAAGCTTTCTAGAACAAATCTGTGTTTATTGGAGTGTTTCCAAAATGCTGCTTGTGCTATTTTTAAATACTGCTACATTGAAAAAGAAAAAGGAGCAAGAAAAAAAACCCTCAAAAGTAATGTGATAATATTATGTTTCAAATTCAGTATGTTTACGCGTTTGATATTGAGTTTCCACCCGTCTGTGCATAAGTTGTCTTGATTTCTTTTAAAGTAATTTATTTCACCTAAATTTCTTTTGTATAGAAAAATTGGATAATATAGAATATTATAAAGAAGCATAGTTACATGACCAATAAACCCCAATACCAAGAAAGAACCATTATTATCAGTTAATTTATTTTCTTCAATCTCATGATTAAGACTCTTTGTATTCTTTGTTTTATTTATACCCATTTATCACTCAACTAAGAAAACATGCCATAGTTATAATGTAGCTTACTAATTATAATTTACTGACCTATTCCCTATCCTTCATCCACTGAAACCCTAAAACTATCCTTTTACCAGAAGCCAGGCTTTGGATGAGAGGACCTACTGCCTTGCCCAGTCTGTTTTTACCTCTGTCTTGTTCAGCCATGATAGCTGCTTGACTCTGCTTTGGACCTCTTATCATGACTGTTGAACAAAATTTACATAATGTAACTTAGGTAGATTCCAGAGCCCTTGTTATGCTGAAGTCACTGCACACATGCAGAAAAGTACCAAAACAAAGACTTTGAAACCCTCCAACCCTATATTTTTTCCTTATGCCTAAACTTTAACTTTGATGCAAATGTAATATAAATGTAAAACTTTGATATAGATTTAACATGTAAATGAATGAGTATGGCTATGTTCCAGTAAAACTTTATTTATATGGCAGCCAGACATAGTCTGTCATACATTTAAGCCATGAATCTCTAAAGCATTGTGTGATGACATCCTTGTCCATTTGAGGAAGAAGTTAAATATTTACTTTACATCACACACAACAGGAAACCATATATCTGTTAGGGGTTTAAACAATAAGAAAACTATAAAAATATTCTGAATGATACAAAACATATTGACCACAAAAGAAGAGGTTGACAATTGTGCCTACATAAGATTTAAATCAGAAAGCACACCATAAATAAAGATAAAAGACGAATGACAAACTGGGAAAAAAGTTGCAATCTGTGTGACTAGCAATTGGTATTATTTCAACACACCAGTAAGAAGAGTAACTCAAAAGAAAAGACAAAAGATATAAATTCACAAGAAGATATATTTTTTAGTTCAGTAAATGAGAAAAGATGCTCATTCTTACTAACAGTGAAATCTCTTTATTAAAGGAAATTTTTTTGCCTGCCAAATTTATAAATGTGAATAATTAGTAATACTCCTAATACTCAGTATGTTGGGGAATATGGGGAAATATCTGGAGATGGTTATAATGTCTTATATTTGTTTTATGTTATTGTGTAACAGATTACCCTACAACTGAGCAGCTAAAAACAACAAACATTTATTATCTTACAATTTCAGTGGGTTAGGAATCCAGGAGTGGCTTAGCTTAAATGGTTCTGCTCAGAGTTCTTATGGGGTTGTAGTCGAGCTGTCAGCCAGTTAGACAATCTGCCACTGACCACTACCATTGAGTGTTGGCTGGCCCCAGTTTCCTTCCTGCCCTTTGCCAGGGATTTCACGTTCTCTCACTTGGGCTCCGAGTGTCCTTACAATTGGGCAGCTATTTTTCCCCTGAGCAAGTGATCTAAGAGATAGAACTGCTAAGACAGACACCATGGTGTATTCTATAATGTCAGAAATGACATATGACTTCTTCCATATGTTATTGGTCACACAGACTAATCCTGGTATATAGTATGGGAAGAGACTACACAACAGGTGAATACTAGGAGGCAGGGATCCTTTGGAACCACCTTGGGGGCTGACTACCGCATGGCCGTATTGGTACTGTATGCCTAGGGCCTTATTTCTCCCTGTCTGCTGGGCTATACAGTTCTCTACATGGTGTCTGCTGCAAATGGAATACCCAGAATGGCTTTTTTTCCCTCAACTGTGGCACCTGGGGGCTGGCTGGGCATCTTTCACCCCATGTGGCTAGCTTGGGCTTCCTTACAGTATCGTAGTCTCAGGTTAGTCATACTTCTTAATATGGCAACTCACTTCCCCCAGAACCAGCATGCAGAAGATCTAGTTAGAAGCTGCAAAGGGTCTTATGATCTAACCTCGCACTGTTTCCATTCTCTGTTGTCAAAACATGTCACAGGACCAGCTTAGAATTCAAGGGTATGATTACCAGGAAGTGTGACTTATTATGAAGGGCCATATTTGGAACCTTTCCCAGGAAGTTATGCTTCAGAGAGATGATGCTGGCTTATTCTAAAGCTAATTAAAGTAATACAAATTGATCTGATTCTTTGAAGATAAAATTGACAGTGTTGCCTATGGACTAGATATATGGTATTTGGGAGAAATAGAGAGGTCAAAGATGAATCTGAGAACTTTGAGCCAAGCAATTTGAAGAATAGGGATGTCATTTACTCAGATGGGAAGGGCTACAAGACAACAGGTTTGGAGAGGAAAATACGGATTGGTTAAAATATTGGGCCTCTGTAATACATATTATAAATATGTAGCTATCAAGGGGGATCTACAAAGAGATCTGCATGTAGCAAAGTAGAAATACTATCCAAGTTATTAATTACAAGGTACAATAAATAAAGTATGATTATTATGAAGAAATAAATATGTATTTATTAATATGTGCATTATTCCACATAATTCTAACAATATCTAACCAGTCTTTCTAGGGCTATATTAAGAGTTTGTATTTTATTCCATAGGCAGTGGGAACTTTTTGAAGGCTTTTGGTCAGTGGCATGCTATGATCATAATTATGCTTTGGGAAGATGAATTTAACAGTATAAAGAATGAAGGAACAATGGGAGATCCAGGGATTGAACTTTATGAACACATACCAAGTTATATTTAACTTCTTTGAAGTAACTCTACAGAGGTCAGAGACAATGTTGGGTTTTTTTGTTTTTGTTTTTTGGGTTTGTTTTGTTTTGTTTTTTCTGACTTCTAACCTAGAGCAAGCCAAAAGAAAGGGACGCCCCCCTTGATAAATACTGATAAATGGTGAACTAATGAATACATGCATCATCAGCAGTTCATTGAGAAAAGGCTAGTCTAAATTAATAAAACATCCCAATTACATTTTCCCCCATTGGTTTTATTACATTCAACTGGTAACAGAAAACAGTATAGCTTTAACACATAGTAGACCTATGGAGATCTGATTTTAGTTAACTAGTAGACTAAAATCATGTCGAATACTACCTTACTGTTTTTGATGCTATATTTGACTTTTTTCTTTAAGAATTTACAACAATTAGGGTTATTTTAAATTTATCTCCTACCTGCATACATTTAAGGGCTCCATTTTCTCAATAACAAGAGTCCTTTGAGTGGTAATGAAAGGTTCTGATCATATAGTGTATATTGTTCAAAAGATTAAACTGTCAGAAATTTCAAGAAAGAGTTTTCAGAAGAGACTGATTAAGTTGTCATTGGTCCAAAGACCATACTTCCCTTTTCCCCTAAAGAGACAGATTTTGGGCTTTGTTTCAAAAAATGACATAAACAAAGATAAAAGACAAGTGACCCCCCCCCAAAATGACATTTTAAAGTAATTAATGATAAACTTTTTAAGGAAGAGTTTTTGTCCCTTTGGATTTTTGTTTGGGTCAAATTGTTTTTCCCCCACAGTACAAACTGCTTCAGTGCCTGTACCCTGTGGCACAGAGGCTAGGCAATGGTTTCACAGCAACAGTTAGCATTGGCATGGGGCAGGCACTATGAGAGGCCTAGGAGATTTTTTAAAAAATGTAAATATCAAGTGTATTTGGCTTGCAAGTTCCAATGGAAGGACAAAAATTGTTGTTGAGTTCATGATTATATTTGTCATTGATTTTAATAAATTGCAAGATATTTGCTAAAAATGTCTTGTTTATTTCAGGGGCTACACTAAGTATGAGACCAGCCCCCATTCCAATAGAGGACCCAGAGTGGAGACAAACACCTCCCCCAGTCTCTGCCACATCTGGCACCTTCCGACTACGGCGAGGGAGTCGATTTACCTGGAGAAAGGAGTGCCTGGCTGTCATGGAAAGGTACACGTGTCCTTTCCCATAAGCAATCTCCCAACCTTAGGAAAGAGAGAAACCTCAGATAGATTTGGACAGCTTTCATTTCAGACAAGTAATTTGGGATCTAGGTTCTATCTCTGAATGTATTTTGGAGTATTATAAATGCTATATTGAAATAAGATGATCTTACCATTGGAGAAGTCATAAAATTGGAGTTAGCATCTTTGAATATAACTTAATAATTTCAATAATTTCAGGAACTAGAAAGAATTTTTTTAATTTAAATCTTTATTTTGTATTTTGTAAACACTCTTCAAAGTCTTATTTTCATAAAAAATATTGAATACTTATATAGGAGGCTGCTGAGATTTTACTTCTTTCACTCAGGAGTATGGCTTAAATGAGCTTAGTCCCAAAGGTTAGAAATACATGTTTTTACTTTGATTTGGTAATTTATCTTCAGACTGCAGCACCAGTATCTGGTCCATAGTAAGTACTCAGTATGTTTTAGACTGGAATTAGACCTTAGCTTCAGTTTTCATATCTGAAATGGTGTAAATCAATTAAATATGATTATTAAATGTTCAGTATAGTTAGGGTGGATCCTGTAGTAGAATTATCCTTTTAGTCTCCTACCTGTAAGTAATGTGTATGGAATTTTGTTTCAATGGAGAGTTTTATATTCAATAAGGTAATGTTTTCCATTAGAAAAGTATTACTTCCTAAGATTAAATATAGAGAAAAAGAATATATTAGGCAAAGGTAAAAACAATTGAATTTTCATATCGAGCTTTCTCAATAATTTAAATAATGAAAAAGAATGGAATTGAATGTTTAAAACTGGGTTTAACTTCTAAACTGACATAGAATACATATTTACATTGAAGCAGCTTCACTTTTTTTCCCAATTATCTAATCTGACCAGTCGAATGGCAAACTGGAAAGAGCATTTGACTCAGAGTCAAAGACCTGAAACCTGGGTTTGGCTTTGCCATTTAACCAGCTGTGCAACTTCGTCCAGGTCACAAACTGAGCAGTAACTTCTTCATCTATAAAATGAAGTCTTTCAGTAGCCAGTAGTGAACCATACGTCATCCAGAACTTTTGCCATCTCTCTTTCTGCCTCTTTCCTGATTATCTCCCAGCTCATTAGACATCACTATCTGAAATAGAGGGAGATTGAAAAATGCCAAAGTTGAGGCCTTGGTTTTTGTTTTTGGGTTGAAATTTAAAAGTTTGCTTAAAGTAGGCATAATGAGACTGTAGATTATTCATTGATGTTATCATATGTTGCTTTCCTTATTCACTTTATTGTAAATTCCAGTAGAGGCCATTCATTAAATAACGAATCCTTATACGCTTGAGCAGTTAAAGTGGAAGAGTGAGATTTTTTCATCCCAGAGCCCTGACATTTACAGTCTGCTTTATTTTTCTCATCTAGAAACTTTGATTCTTTCAAAAAATTTCCTCAGAACCTACCACATAATAGACATGAATTTAAATAATATCAAACTTAAATTATTTGTAGCATTATACATTTTCCTCTGGGTAACAAAAATAAGCTTTGGTATTAGTTTCTAGTTGGTGTAAGTTCTAATTTTGCTACTGATTCAGCCATTTAATTTTTTCATGAAGATACCAATATACATTTATCATAATGTCAGTATGAGGAAAGATTAATATTAAAATTGATAATATTAATAATGGTAGGTGATATTCCTAATACATATTCAAAATTGAACCTCGCAAGCTTTGCAGTTATTTTTTTTCAAAGCCAACAAAAACTACCCATAGAATCACACTGATCAAATTTCAGTTACAAAGATACTGAGGGGTGTCTAGGTGGCTCAGTCGGTTAAGCATCTGACTCTTGGTCTTGGCTCCAGTCTTTATCTCAGGGTTGTGAATTCAAGCCCAGCCCCACATTTTTTAAGCCCACTTAAAAAATATGTATATATATGAGCACTTACCCTGTGTAAAACTCCCATTTAATCTTAATTTTCACCTTTTAACCTTAATTTTAATTAATAAATGTCATTAATCCAGGAATTGGTTACCTTTGGTTTAATTTTATCTTACTTGGCACAACCAGTAAGAAAGTATGTGGTTTATTCCAGTAGTTGCAAAAATGCAAAAGCCTCTCAGGGTATTTAATAGCAGTAGATCATGGTATGATTTCATTCTGTGAAAGTGGAACTTTTTATTTTCTAACATGGAATATAAAATTCCCTGGCCTCAGAGCAATGCATGATGTTTTTCATTTTTTCACTACACTGAATAGGTGAATAAATATATATGCACAGACTGTAAAGCCAGCAAGTACTAGGCTTACTCAAGTATATTAGTATAAGCCAAAAATTATTCATTCTTCATACCCTACACCAAGACAAATTTCAAATGAATCAAAAAAACGAATTCATATAAAATAATAGAAGAAAATATGGGTACCCTGGAAATGATGAAATTTTTCCTAACTAGGACTCAAAATCCAAAATATGGGAAAGGATTGATAAATTTGGTTACGTACGTTAAAAGAAAAACTTTGGGGAGAAAAGACTGTGAACAAAGTAAAAAAAAAAATTGGAAAAAATATTTGCTGCATATTATTATCCCTGATATATAAACTTTTAAAAGAGAGAGAAGACCACCAACTCTATAGAAAACTAAAGATATCAGCAGAAAAACAAATGCAAGTGCCTCTTAAACATATAAAAGGATGTTCAATTTAACTCATAGTAAGAGAAATACATATTAAAATTACACTGAGACACTATTCTTCTCCTATCACATTGGCAAAAATCCAAAAGTTCCATAACGTTTTTTTATTGATTAAGCTGTAGGGAAATGGGCACTCTCATACATTGCTTGTGGGAATGCAAAATGTAACAACTTCCACGGACAGGAATTTGACAGTATTGGAGACAATTACCCATGGATTTGCCCTTTGACTCAGCATTCTCACTTCTAGTAAATTATCCCAGAGATAAACTGACAAAAGTATAAATATAGCAACCTTGTTTGCAATAATATCAAAATACTGAATACAACCTATGTGTCTATTGGTAGTGGACTGGGTAAATAAATTACAGTAAATCCATATGTTGGATGCCCAAGTTCAAATAATAGAGTGCTATGCAGCAGCAAAAGGAATGAATTTTCCTTTCTACAGAATGAAAATCATACTGTGTCCTTCTGTACTATCACTATTAAATATTTCGTAAGGCTTTTTTGCATTTTTGTATCCATCAGAATGAATACTTTTCTATATACAGTGATCTTCAGAATATAATGTTAAGAAAAAGTGTCAGTTGTATATAGTAGGCTATTATTTATGTATTTATGTATTTGCTTATAATTTGTTTTAAGATGAAGGAATATGCCATAAAATAAAATGGTTACCAATAGGAGAAGAGAAAAAAACAGATTGGAGGGGGCAAGAATAGAAGCTTGACTTATCTAAATATACCATGTTTTCACATTTAACCATGTAAATATTTTATGTAATTATAAAACAAAATTAGGTTGAAATGGGGGCGAAGGTAACCCCTAAAATAACTAAAATGAAACAAAAGTGTGACCTAAACATTCATGAACTGTATCAAATAACTTTATAACACAGTATTTTGACTATGCTTCTTGATGGGATACAGTTTAGGAATAAAAAGAACTACAAAAAAATCTTACCTTGCTTTTACTAATGTTGGTAATATTAATATAGTTATTCCGGTACTATTTTTATTTGTGTAGATGCAGATATAGGTAAGACAATTGTAGTGTTATTAGGAATCAAGTTTTTCAGTGTAAAACAGATAAAATAACTAAGTAAAACACTGTAATCTTGTGTATGTTTGTGCATATAGAAATGTATCTGGATTGTATTCTTTTAATAACAGCCTTATTGAGATACAATTCACCTAATTAAAGTGTACAATTCAGTGCTTTTTAGTGTATTTACAGTTATGCAACCATCACCACAATCAATTTTAGAATATTCTCTTCACCCCCAAAAAACTCTTGTACCCAGGAGCAGTCACTCCTTTTCCCCCATCCTCCCCAACCCTACGTAACCATTAACCTGCTTTCCCTGTATATGGATATGCCCAGTCTGGACATTTCATATGAATGGAATCATACAAATGTGGCTGTTTGTGACTCACTTCTTTCACTTAGTATAATGTTTTCAGGGTCCATCCATGTTGTAGGTCATTTCAGTATTGCATTTCTTTTTGTTGCCAAATAATAGTCCATTTTAAAGATATGCCATATTTTATTTATTCACTCATCAGTTGTTGGACATTTGGGGTTGTTTCCTCTTTTTAGCTATTATCAATAATGCTGCCATCAATGAAATTTGTGTACTAGTGGAATTGCTGGGTCATATGGTGACTGTGTTCAGCCTTTTGAGAAACTGCCAGACAGTTTCCAAAGCATATGTACCCTTTTACATTCCATCGAGCACTATATGATGGTTCCAATTTCTCACCAGCACTTTTTATTGCTGTCTTACTGATTCTAATCTTCTTAGTGTGTGCAAAAGTAGATTCTCATTGTGGTTTTGATTTGCATTTCCCTAACCAATGGTGTTGAATATCTTTTCATATACTTATTGGCTATTTCTGTTTTATCTTTGGAGAAATGTCTATTCAGATCATTTGCTCATTTTTAAAGTTGGGTTTATTTGTCTTTATATTGAATTGTAAGTTTTCTTTATATGTTCTAGGTACAAGTCCCTTATAAGATACATGGTTTCCAGATATTTTTTTTTGCCCCTTGACATTTTATTTATTTATTTATTGAATTTTTAAGATTTAAATTCAATTAATTAACATGTATTATTAATTTCAGAGGTAGAGGTCAGTGATTCATCAGTCTTATATAATACCAGTGCTCATCATATCATGTGCCCTTCTTAATGTCTATCACCCAGTTACCCCATTCCCCCACCCACCTCCCCTCCAGCAGCCCTCAATTTGTTTCCTGTGATTAAGAGTCTCTTATGCTTTGTCTCCCTCTCTGATTTCATC